CTGAAGAGGGCGGCCGGGCAGTTATCTGATGACGCGATGAGAGTGGAATAATAATTAGTTCTAACCACCCTCATCGCCACTAGGTAGGATCTAACATGTGTCCTTACCTGTGTTCGGTCGGATTCGGTTCGGCTGGCCCTCCAGCTGCTCTCTAGGCGTCTTTTCCGGCGTTTCATCTCTCTCAGCTCCTCGGTAAACCTAGGAGCCAGTCGAGATCTATGCCGGGTCAGAGGCCGCAAAGGCACGACTCGGTCTAGTGCTGCGGCAGCGGTCATTTCCCAAGCTGCCGCCTGATCTTCCGCCGAGCCATGAACTAGATCCTCCGGATATGGCCCAAGCTCCGTCAGGAACCTAGTGGGGTCCATCAGTCGCCTGGGACAGAACCATCTTTGTGGTTCCGTCCCAGGATTGCCTACCCCTGCACATGACCATTTTATGATTAAAATTCAGATGTGTAGCAATTGGCATATATTTATGATGGTGATTAAAATTCAGATGTGTAGCAATTGGCATATATTTATGATATTTATGATGATTGGCATATATTTATGATGTGTCCGGGGTCATGTGATCAGTTTTTTTGTGACCTCCTGGCTAGCAAAGTCAATGGGGAAACCAGATTGACTTAACAACTGTGTTAGTAACTTAACAACTGAACAACTGAGGTGATTTTCTTAGCAACTGCAGCAAGAAATAGGGCAAAACTCAGTTAATAATTGTCTTAACAACATAAATTTTGGGATCTATTATCATAAGGTGAGGACTACCTGTACCTCCAAGCTTTTTCCAATCTGTAATATATAATCCCTATGGTTTTATACCCATCTTTGGCCATAATAAAAGTTTAATTTAATGGTCTGGTTAATTCCTGTTCTTGTCAGCCATTTTAAACCTTTGTACTCTGTGCTGGTATAACCCTGTTAGACTTGTTGTCTCTGCTGAGCTTTCATTGTGTTTTTTATACCAAGTGGGCAATGAAGCTGATGATGCCCTATCTAAAGACTCCTAACCTCTTCCCCGTGTGAATTAAGATCTGTCAAGAGACATAACTACATTAGGCTGCGTTCTCCGTAGAATGATTACGCCTCTCTGTACAGTGCAATCTGGGTTCCAGATCTTCGTCAAGTGCTGTAACTTGGTTAAGTGCTGTAACTTTTATAGAGCAGCCTTCCCTAACTTGGCCTCACAAGCTGGCTCTGAATTTTAGGAGATGCTATTTCATATTGGAGAATTGGAAGGCTGATGCAGGCCTTCCTGTCAGTTCAGAGGGACTGGAAATGAAAGGGAGAGAACTACATATCTGAGGAAAACTTCAGTATATGAGACATGAGCTACTTGAGAGAGTGAAGTCTTCCTGGAGCCCTCCAGAGGGTTTATACTAAAACTTCCAACAGCTTCAGACAACATGGACAGTCCTAAGGATGATGGGAATTGTAGTTAAAAAATCTCTGGAGGGAAATCAAATTGCAACAATCTGGTGAGTCCCATAGACTAGAGCAGGGGTAGGCAACCTCGGCTCTTTTATGATTCATGGACTTCAACTCCCAGAATTCCTGAGCCAGCTATGCTGACTCAGGCATTCTGGGAGTTGAAGTCCATGAGTCATAAAAGAGCCAAGGTTGCCTACCCCTGGACTAGAGCAATCTTTTATAGCTGCTGAGAGAGATTGGCTTTTTGGTATCTTTAAGCTGGTATAACTAATAACCTTAATTAAGCAGCATGAGTTAATGAGGACAAACAAAAGGAGGACACAGTTAATGAGAATCTTAGGAATGCAGATGGTTTCCATAATCTAAGACAGTCTCCTATTTCCAACTAAAACCTTCATGTGAAATAAAAACAAAACTTGTGTAGGAAAAAACAATTAGAAGGTTGTACAATCAATACTCCCCAATATGTATCTGTCCCCTTGCTTCATATTTTCTCTTGTATTTGAACTCCAAGCAGACTGATATTCTTCATAGGTAATTTATAGAAAACAATCTGGTGGGTAGAACATTAGCCAAATACTTTACCACATTTGTTTTCTAGGCAGCATCCACATTATTGCTATGAACGTTTTAATGCCCACTTTTTCCATCAAAGTCATAACCTCTTAATAAATCAAAGCCTTCCCCACTGCTTTATTATTGGCCTAATTTAGCATACATCCTGTTATTTTACTCTCCTCTGTTAAATAAAGGTGATGAAGCTGGTGAGAGAATTGCAAATTATAGCATATTGGTTGTTAGCTAAAGCTCTGCAGGGAAAATCACTAGTATGGTAGCAAGGCAAGCTGTTGTTTGCTGTCATTTTTATGGACGCAACAAAAAACAAGTGTACTGAAGCTACCTCATAAGGTTCAAATCAGCACATTATGCTATACAAGAAGCAACGCTGCATTTTCCAAGATCCATGTAATCTGCGTCTGATAATTTTCAGTTATCCCTTCCATGGCGAATGCTTTCATTTGTCATTGTCTTTTGCAGATAAACTGATGGAAGAGACAGAAGAGCTATGTCTGCAGAGGGAACAGAAAGAGGTTTTTTTTTTCTCATTTTCAATTGTTTAACTTACATACTGAAATATCTATCATCTATTTCAATAGTTTCTCTGAATTACACTGTAGTTAGACTGCTTTTTTCCCCTTTCTAACGTTTATTGCAGACTTTAGATGCCTTTCCCTCAGCCTATTGTCCTCCAAATTTGTTGGACTATAATACCCATTACCCATTAATATGCTGGTTGGGCATCATGGGCTTCTCAATAGGTTATTCGACCTGTCAACTGAAATAACATGATGTCTCTATTTGTAAGATTAGAGGGTTTTTTTCTCATGTTGAACACATTGGAGTGCTAACATGTATCAGTAACTGCCTTTTCTTGCATTGTCATCTTAATGTTGACTTTGTTTCACCCAAGGATATTAATTACTTCACTGTTTTGGTTTGGTTTTTGCAAATAGGTGACTGTTGTAAAAGTATGAGCCAGATAAAGCTTAACAGTCAAAATGGAGGAAGTGAGTTGGAAAAGAGTGTCCCAATTCCATGAAGGGCAACATTTCTAGTTCTTAATAAAAGCGATACCTGGATGAACCCTTGAGATTGAGACCTTGTGATAAAACAAGAGAATGATTCCTTTCCCACTCTAGCATATAGCTTCAGCTGGCCTTCAAAAGAAAATTGGAAATGTAGTTTTCTGTTACTTCATTGACCTCCTCCTACGTTTCACATGTGGGGAGGGAGAAGGGGCAGTTCAAGTCTGCAGTATAGAAAATAAGAAAGGTGACCTTGAGGGAGATATGTGGGAGAAAACATGTTGCCTAGGGCCTAGGCAAAAGGTGCTGATTTTTTTTTTAAGTTCAGAGAAATGAAATAACATTTGGAAGTGGTTCAGGCAGATGCCACCCTGATTCAATGGAGTGTAAGAAAGGGGAGGAGATACAACACAAACTTGCAATATTCAGCTTGCATAATAATAATAATAATAATAATAATAATAATAATAATAATAATAATAATAATAATAANAGTAGTAGTAGTAGTAGTAGTAGTAGTAGTAGTAGTAGTAGTTGGAAGGGACCTTGGAGGTCATCTAGTCCAACCCCCTGCTCAGGCAGGAAACCCTATACCATTTCAGACAAATGGCTGTCCAGTCTCTTCTTAAAAACTTCCAGTATTGGAGCAGTCACTGCTTCTGGTGGCAGGTTGTTCCACTGATTAATTGTTCTAACTGTCAGAAAGTTTCTCCTTAGCTCTAAGTTGCTTCTCTCCTTGATTAGTTTCTCTCCTTGATTAGTTTCCACCCATTGCTTCTTGTCCTGCCTTCAGGTGCTTTGGAGAATAGCTTGAATCCCTCTTCTTTGTGGCAGCCCCTGAGATATTGGAACACTGCTATCATGTCCCCCCTCGTCCTTCTCTTCGTTAAACTAGACATACCCAATTCCTGCAACTGTTCCTTATATGTTTTAGCCTCCAGTCCCCTAATCATCTTTGTTGCTCTTCTCTGTACTCTTTCTAGAGTCTCAGCATCTTTTTTACATTGTGGTGACCAAAACTGGATGCAGTATTTCAAGTGGCTGGCTTGGGAATTCTGGGAGTTGAAGTCCACAAGTCACAAAAGAGCCAAGGTTGCCTACCCCTGATCTAGGCCATCTTCAGAAATAGCCCAGATATGGAGGAAATGTTGCATTGGGCAAGAGCATTGGTAGTACTCCTTCATGCTTTACTCCATGTGCCCACTAGCTTTTAGCTAGGCACCCTGAAACACAGAAAATCCCACCAGGTTCTTAACAGTGAAGCCCGGGTGAATGGAAGTGGTAGGTGAATGGGAATGGAAAGACAGTCTGCTCCCTGAAGCCCAAGGCAGCCACTGTTTTGAAACAGCAATTTCCTCACTGAGGATCAAACAGCTATAAGGCTGATCACAGACTAAATTCCAAGTGATTATGCTGTGTGATAGGGAGTTATGTCATCCCAATGCTGAGAATGTACTTTTATCTGTCTACTTTCTTAGCATACTTTTCCTCTTAAGACTGAGCAATGTTAGTTGTGGTTGCACAACTTTAAAATAGATGCTGTCTTTCCTGCCCCATCATTAAAAAAATCCTTTCCTAAGCATTCTGTTTTAGAAAAGTTCCCCATGTTTGTTCAAAAAGCAACCTGTGAAGGGAAAAAAGTGCATCTGCAGCAGACTCACAAATCTGATTACTAGTGTCAACATTTACTGTATGTTGTATTTATTACACAGCTGTGTAAATGTTCAAATTTTAACTAGAAAGTGATAGAAGTAAGTCTTCATCCTGGTTCATCCAAGCCGGGAATAAATAAGCAAACATGGTGACTGCTTTGGGAAGAAGGTTACAGTTTATTGAAGCAGAAAGATGGTCCTCGCAAGAAGGAGCAGAGGAGAAGAAAGAGAGTGAGCACATGGGTAGAAGGTTTTTATACCCCCTCTAGCCCTGTTTGGAATAGTTTCCTGTTCCTGTGGCATGAACTTTGAGGCTATTTCTGAGAGTTTTTCTAGGCCTTGATATCTGTGGTTTAATCCTATTATCATATCCTGCTTCCCAGGTGATGGGGCTAATGACTCCTAGAGTTTGGGTGGGGCATGCAGATTTTCTCTTTGTCTTCTTGATTGCTCTGGCTTCAATTTTCTGATGGTTTTACATCTGCATTTGTATGGGGCTAGGTCTTGCTTGGGGCAGAGAGATTTGGAGCCAAAGTTGGTTTCTGCTTTTAAAATACTTTTGAGGAAATATATATTTCTGCCCTTTTAATATTTCTTTCTCTGGGGCTCTGACTTCCCACAAAAGCAAACTCTGCAGTCATTTGAATTCTGCATTTATTGTCTTTTTCTTAAGGCTCTGGAGCATCTCAACCAAGTATTGGAGGCAGAAAAGCAGCAGTTCGAAGAAGTAGTACAAGATCTTCGAGGGGAACAGGAGCAGATTAAACGGTAATGCCTCTTAACCATCAACAGAACCAAATAACAGCTGGCATTAATGGTAATAATTTTTAAATAATGCTAACCAGGCTATGAGCCACATCTATACAACTCGAGTTGTGATTTGGCTGAGAGAAATATTTTCCACATTTTGCACAAAATTACATTTTGAAGGAGTGTCATCTTCAGGAGAAATCAGCTCTTTTGGGATACTTCCACACTATAAAACATTTCAATCTCTCTCCCTCATTCCAGACAAACATTTAAAACTCAACCTTAATCATCTTTAATTCTTCTCACCTCAAAACATCATGAGTCAATGGGAGCTTACCTACTTTCACTCCAGCTGACTAATGGGAGATAGTGGGTCACACATTGTTGCTGCAGTCACTGGATTGGGTAAGTTCTAAACCAGTGGTGGTGAACCTATGGCACGGGTGCCAGAGGCAGCACTCAGAGCCCTCTCTGTGGGCACAAGCGTCATCGCCCCAGTCCTAGGCCTTCAGCTGGGTTTTATAAAACCTTTTCACTTTAGGCCTCCGCCGCCATGTGCAAAAAAAAAAAAAATGGTTCAATCAGTCAATTTCAACTTCTTGAGGGAAAAAAAAGTTCTTGCAAAGTTGGAATTGATTGAACTTTTTAGTCCCACACAGTCTGCCGTTACCACGGTAGCCATGCCCACCCAATTTGCCATGCCCACCCAATTGGCCACGCCCACCCAATGGGCTACACCCACCCGGCACTCAATGATGCATAAGTGGGTTTTGGGTTGCAGTTTGGGCACTCGGTCTCTAAAAGGTTCGCCATCACTGTTCTAAACAATGCAGAAATAGGATGCTGAACCTCTGTGGAGGAAGGAGTGTAGAAATGAGCCTACCTCCAGGAGATAGAATGAGATGAGAATTTCTGCCAGTGGAAAAATGCAGAAATATAAGACAGTATATCTATATATTGTGAATGCTGTACTTCCACTTAAAGAGAAACACAGACCTTCTTCTTCTTCAGACAAGGCAGAGAAGACAAAGGACAGAAAGTACTAGACATTTGTGTTTGCCACTTTCTTGCATCTATCTCTTATCTTAAACTACCCTTTTTTAAAGATACAGCAGCAAAAATACATATTGGTGCTTGCTCATATTATCATGACATCAGCTCACTGTAATGAAAAAAAAATCTGTGTTCTTGTAAGAGTCCTTAGATTTTCAGTAGCTAATTTTTTTCTTAATACGGTAATATAGAGATTAAAAAACACTCTATCTGTTATTTTGTATATTAAACATCATGTTGGCAATGTAACTACAAAAGCTATGTATAGAAAAAAAAGTACACAACATGTAATTCTAGAAATGAATGTATCTGGTTGATTTCATTTTTTTCACTACATGGACTTCTCTAAAATTGTGATGCCAACATTTAGGGATGTGGTTTCCTGCCATTTTTGAGTTAGGAAACATGTTAAAACTGTAGCATAGGTTCCCTCTTAAAATAGATTGGAGTCCATTTTAAAAGAGGAAGCACTCAAGTATACCCTCAATATTCTAAAAATAAAAAAATAAAATTTCCGTCATTTCTATCTCCGCCATGCCCATTGTGATCCTGAATGTCTCCTCTTTGAAAACTTACCCAGGGGTAGTCAACGTTGGCTCTTTTATGATTCGTGGACTTCAACTCCCAGAATTCCTGAGCCAGCTATGCTGGCTCAGGAATTCTGGGAGTTGAAGTCCACGAGTCATAAAAGAGCCAACGTTGACTACCCCTGACTTACACGATCAAAAGGATGCCCATCCTCAGTCTTGTATTACAACACAGAGTTGAAAAATATGCCTCAATGGCCTTTGCATGGTTATTTCACAGAGAGCTGGAAATGACTGCCCAGTCCCTCAAAGGAGTAGAAGAAGAAAAGAAAGGACTACAAACTCTGACAGAAGCATTACAGAAGACGTTGGAGGTAGGTGTTTGATTTTTCTCTTGAGGGCAGCCTTCAGTGACTAGTAAATGGCCTCCTTTGAAATAGCTAAATCATTGAAATTACAAATAAAGCTGCAAAGAAATGTTGAGGTTCCAAACACAGCTTGTCCAGGATTCCAGTCAACCATGCACTCTTTCATTCCCTCTCTCCATGCCTAATGAGAACACAGCATTCTGGACCCACTGAGCATCCTTGTTAGGTGCTCCATTTAGGGACCCACTTAGCACCCTTGTCAGTCTTAGGTGATCTCACCTTTTCATGCACATGTATTTTTAAGGATTCCTTCCTTCCTTCCTTCCTTCCTTCCTTCCTTCCTTCCTTCCTTCCTTCCTTCCTTCCGTTGGATTAAAGTCTTCATCCTGGTTCATCCAAGCCGGGGATAAATAAGCAACATGGCGACTGCTTTGGGAAGAAGGTTACAGTTTATTGAAGAGGCAGAAAGATGGTTCTTGCAGGAAACAGCAGAGGGAAGAAGGGCTGAGCACATGGGTAGTAGGTTTTTATACCCCCTCCAGCCCTCCGTTTGGAATAGTTTCCTGTTCCTGTGGCACGAACCTTGAGGATATCTCTGAGTGTTTTTCTAGGCCTTGATATCTATGGTTTAATCCTATTATCATATCCTGCTTCCCTGGTGATGGGGCTAATGACTCCTAAAGTTTGGGTGGGGTATGCAGATTTTAAGTCTCTTTGTCTTGACAAACCTTCTGATGGTTTTACATTTGCATTTGCATAGGGCTGGCTCCTTTTTGGGATAGTTGGCTCCTGCTTTTAAAAATCCTTTTGAGGAAAAATATATTTTTCTGCCCTTTTAATATTTCCTTCTCTGGGGCTCTGACTTCCCACACCTCCTTCCTTCCTTTCTCCCACCCATCTTGTCACACTTTTGTACTCTTATGCTTTCCCCCGCCTACTCTTTTGTATGAATGGTGCCCCTTTGACTACATAGTCATTGGCACTTAAAGAAGTAGTTTTTTTACAATAGGAGCTCCTACCTGCCAGAAATATTGGGCTTATTAAGTGAAATAAGCATTTTGAGATTTTCGTCTCACGTTTGCTTTTTATATGTTCAGTGCCTCAATGTTTTTTTGGTTTCTAAGCTAAAGGAAAAGGTAACAAAGGATGCAGCTCATTAATACAAAATCTCCATTCCTCTTCTTAATGGCAAGTGAACCATCTCAAAGCTAATCTGATGCTTAGTTAAATGAGGAAGTTGCCTGCAGTTGCTGTTTGGGGATATTCTGCTGATGGTGGTTAAAGATTTCATTGTCATTGTCTTTTTACTATCAGGGATAGAGATCTTTGGAGATATTTTTGCCTGAGCTATGAAGATCATTTGGCTTAGTTTAGCAGCTGAGCTGCCCCCTAGCTACTCACTTTAGGTTATCACATAAATTAAGCCAAGCCTGCCCAGTCTCTTTTCTCTGTGTGCCTGAAGGAATGTAAAATGTCTCCTTTATTTTTGTTATGTCTGGTACTCTATGTGAAATGATCCTTTGAAAGGTTCTCTTGGGAGTAGGAACACCGACTATCTTCTGTTTTGCATATTTTCTCAGAAATGTAGCACTTTCTTCCATATTCATGAACGTGATAGACTTTCCTCTAATCTCACAATTGGTATCTGTTGTTGGTAAATGGCACCTGTGCATTTAATTTTGCATGACAGGAAGAAAAGTCCCCATTTCATACCAACATGAATGTATTATTCTAATAAAAAATTAATCTGCTAAGTTTCTCTTTGATACATTTTGTATTAAAGCATTGACACCTTGCTAGGTTGGAGATGACAGCCATCCTTTTGATCCTACAACTCTAATGTTGTGGAAGTTGCCTTTTTCAAGGGCAACCCATCTAGTAGTCGGTCATGGATGGGGGAAAAGGAAGAAGCCCCAATCACTGCTTAACCTGTCTGTATTGGCTATCAGGAACTCTCTCTGGAAAAACAAAGCATGCTGGAGAGGCTGGAAGAAGATGGAAGTCATTTGCAGCCCCAGAAGAGCCCTTCGGAGCAACCTAGTGCCGCTGGGGACCTGCAGAGTAGCCTCCATCAGATTGAGGAGAAAATGCACCAGCTATTGAAGGAGAAACTCTTAGCAGAGAAAAGGTGAGATGGGGAGAAACTTTGAAACCAAAAATATTACAACTTGGGGAGTTAACTTTTTGCATTTTGAGAGATATTAGAGTTCATAGCCCTGGCTCATTTCGTCCCTTCTTATTATTGTTTTTATTTTTTTTGCAAAAAGTAGGAACAGCAAGTGAAATTTGCAAGAAGAATCTGTTGTTGCCCATTGGAGTAGAAAGTCAGCCTGGGTTTTGCAGGCTGGCATTCCCACAAACTAAAGACCGGAAGGAGAGAAATGAGATGAGAGGACCACTGAATGCTTTTTCCTCTTCTGCTTTACAGAATGAAGGAGAACGAAGAACGCTCCCGAGCTCTGGAAGAAGAAAGGGAGTTCTATTCCTCCCAGTCACAGGCCCTGCAGAATTCCCTATCTGAGCTGACAGCCGAGAAGCAGAAGACTGAGAGAGACCTCAAGGTATGGTAATACAGTTTCTATTATGGTAGAGGTGGTTCGTAGGCCTAAAGTTGGCCCTGCTCCCCTTTTCAGTTTCCAGAACTCCTTATGGCTTCATTAATGAATTTCAGCCTCTCATGTAGTGTCTTACATGAAACAGACTTAATGGAGTTGAACAGTGATCCCCCACTCTCCCGTTAACCACATTTTTGTAAAAAAGGAGAAGAGCCTGAATTTGTCCACATGAAAGACCTGGTTCTATTCGTTCATCTTTTCATTGAGCTCTTTGTCTCACCAAAACAAATTTTGGTTTGTTCCTCTAGACCAGGGGTAGGCAACCTTGGCTCTTTTATGGCTCAGGAATTCTGGGAGTTGAAGTCCACGAGTCATAAAAGAGCCAAGGTTGCCTACTCCTGCTCTAGACAAAAAAAGGTGGCCCAATCTGTGTTACAGGGTCAGCCAACAATCTCACTTCCCCTTCTTCTATTGCTGAATGACAGAAAATAACACCAAGAGAAGGAAACTGGAGCTATCCCAGGCAGTGCACCAATTGTTAAAAGCCCATTTCTTGCTTCTGTTTGCAATTTGCTGTTGTATTTCTTTTCTTGATTTTTTGGGGGACTGCCTCCTTTCCTTCTGGCTCAGGCAGAAGTGAAGGTGCGTATGGACCTGGAGAAACGCTTGCAGGAGGCTGAAGAGGCCCTGCAGAGCCTTGAGCAAGGCTTAAACTGCAAGCATCGCAACAAAGAGAAGGAGGAAAAAATGAAAGCTGATGTCAGCAATCTGAAAAGTAAGTGGACCTTCCCCACTGTTAGCCTCTACCATAAAACTACCACTTCAAAAGAAGTATCACCTTGCAGATGCCTCCAGCTGGAAATATTAGCCGGTGAATCCTTGCATACTGTGAGCTGTGAACCTGTTTAACAGTCCTCATGAGTGTTGCAGTAGCACTTCTGGCACTCTAAAAATATAAGCTAACGAAGTCTAGGAGAAAAAAAAATAATCATGGGTGAACTTCCTGAAGGAGGGTCAAACTAAAACAGCATGAAATGTACCTTTGTATTTAATCTCCCTGCTATTTTTTTAAGATGCAACCTCAGCTGGTGGTAGCTGGGTTGAGAAGCTAAGCAAACAGTACTTAAATCATAGACCCACAAGGAAATCCCAGGGCTGTAGACTAGAACAGGGGTAGGCAACCTTGGCTCTTTTATGACTCGTGGACTTCAACTCCCAGAATTCCTGAGCTAGCATGGCTGGCTCAGGAATTCTGGGAGTTGAAGTCCACGAGTCATAAAAGAACCAAGGTTGCCTACCCCTGGACTAGACCAGTGATTCTCAACAACTTTAAGATGTGTGGACTTCAACTTCCAGCATCCTTTTCCCCGGCATGTTGACTGAAGAATTCTGGGAGTTGAAGTCCACACATGTTAAAAGTTGCTGAGATTCAGAAACACTAGACTAAACTATAGTTCATTCCAGAAGAAAACGTTGGCAAACCACTTCCCCGTTGCTCCTAAGGAAACTATATAACGGTGTCCATAATTTCACCAACAGTGAAATTGAAGGGGACCTTATCTTTTCAAAAGTCAAGCAGCAGCTGTTGATCACATTGTCCAATGTGTGTGATTAGAATTGAAGCAGGCAGGAATGGGAAATTCAACCTTTTATTGGTGTCAAGATATAAAATCAATACCGTGTATGATTTGCCCCCAAGAATCATTTTTATTTGCCTGACTTTGCATTCTTAGTGTGATGAAAATGTTTTATCTAATCAGAAATAGCATAATTTCTTCTTGGGGGATATTATTTGGGGGACAATTATATTTTAGAAACTGGCTGCCAACACCCAAAAATGATAACATTCTTCTCTTGATGGTATCACTTCTCCAATCCATTGTTTGTTTGTTTTCTGACAATATGGCATCTTAAGTAGGAGTGGTATTACATATTATGTAACATTTACTGACAGGACCAATTATGAAAAAAAATAAAACTTTATTTAACAATAATTTTCTATCAACACATAGTAGAAATACAACAGCAAACATTTCCTGTGTGCTTAATTATGAAGTGATTATCACACTTCTGTAAGTTCTGGATAACTTCTGAATTACACTAATCCTTGAATTATTTGATTATGTGCCATCAAGAACCTTAGCGACTATATAGATTTTCTCCAGGGCAACCTTTCCCCAGCGTGGTCCTTTGGGTTTTCAGTGGTGCACTCATCAGTTACAGAAGGACCAGATGGAGACAGATCACCCTGGAGAAAAATCTATCTATGTGCTTGATAAGAGCTGACACCAACTTGATGGCACACAATAGTTCAAAATCAACAGAGCTTTAAATGCTCTTCCATCACTACCCAAATTATTTTGAGAGAGTAAAATGAGCACAAGATTAGAATAAAACTGAAATAGCTTATTTTTCTGCAGTAGAGATCACATCCCAGAAACCTTGTAAGAGGCAGTTAACAAGCAGTAAGCAAGCTTTAGATCAGAAAAGCTGTCAAAAATGCTTCATTTATCCCTCCCCCGAGCATTTGTTGTTAGCATGATTTTTAAATAAATAAAATATCATAGAATATAAAGCTGTAGCAACACTTAATAATTTTGCCTTAAATTGTCTCGAAGGAGAAGGGATAATGCTAAAATATTTTGCATAGTCAAATTAAAAAGCAAACTATAGAAATGTCAGAATTGAAATTTTAAGACATAGGCTAATTTCTATACCTTCATCTTCAAAATGTTGTATGGACCATTCATAACTTGAGGTCCTCTAAATAAGGTGGTCTTGAAATCCCATAAACGTTTACTTCAATTCTAGGAGGTCATGGAAGTGTGGAATGCTAGGTTGAGGAACAGTGGTCTAAGGCAAGAGTCTCCAACCCCCGGTCTGTGGACTGGCACCGGACCGCAGCATGTCAGAAACTGAGCCACACAGACAAACAAAGCCCCATCCGCGGGATGCAGGCAGTACATGAAACCACGCCCCCTCCAGTCTATGGAAAAACCTCTCTCCACGGAACCAGTCCCTGGTGCCCAAAAGATTGGGGACCTCTGGTCCAAGGCTAAGATTTATTCAATTCCCCCTGTCTCTGATCATCCTGTAGAATTCTTTGAAGAATGTATCCGGAATGCTGAATTAGAAGCCAAGATGCCAGTCATTATGAAAAATTCTGTGTACCTTCACAAGGCTGCCACTCGCAGGATAAAAAGCTGCCGATTTCGTCGTAGCAGATGCAGCAATTCATGGAATAGTTGTAAGTACTACTTGTCCCTGTTCTTTTATAGTTTATAGATAATTCAGGGTATGGGACTTTTTATTATCTTGTAAAAAGGACATAATTTTAGCCACTTTGGTGCAAAAACCGAGATCACCTTTGATTCCATAATGATAACCTTGAAGTAGGAAAAAGTCACCCATTGATTGACAAGTTTCTCCACATTAATTAAAGCTCTAAATTTATGACTGTACTTTATTGGTTTAATATGACACTGATCTCTGGGGGCAAAATCAATACCATAGATAGCTACAGCTTGCATAGCTGCTAGAAATTCTGAGTTATAATCCAACACATCTAAAGGATATCTAATTGTGAAAGGCACACTTGGTATATTGTGATAGTGCCATTATGTATATTAATCAGTGTTTTTGTTGACTGCCATCTTATTTCCCTATTGATTACTTACTTAAACTGTTTGATAACCCCCATTTTACCCTTTGTTCCCACAATACTGGCCTTTTCTAATTCCCAAGCCTGATTTTCACAACCTACCCTGCTGTTTTCCATAGTGCAAAATGTCCATCAATCACAAAACATAAATAAGAGGAAAGATGAATGCATCTTGATGCCACAAGTCTTTCTTTTGCCATTGTTAGGATTACAAATAAGTAAAGTTTCCTAGTGTTACATACTGTTCTTGTTTTCAGTGCGGCAATCACAAACATTCATGTACTCAGAAGCAGAAAACATAGAAGAGCTGAAGCAAGCTGCCAAGATGCTAAGCCAGGACCATCACTTCCGGGAAACCATCTATCAAATCATGGAGTCGCATCAGGATTCTTCCTTGGTCAACAAAAAATGAAGCTCGCCCACCCTATTGTCAGTTCTAGACTCAGCTTGTCATTTCATTCAGCAAAAGCCAAATTGATTTGTCTAGAATGCAGAAGTATGATAGCAGTAGAATGTCATGAGGAAGTGAATGGAACACTTTTCTTGGTAGAGTTTCATGGCTGGACCATTATTGTCAATAAGAGGGTTCCATATAGTTTGCTGTAACTCCTTGGCTGTCCGTTCCTGTCATATTAACTCACTCTGCTTTCCTCTCAACTTCCTTTATCAAGATCCAGACAGTCCTTTAATACAAGGAGAAATACCTACAGTACATGAAACAAGTACATCAGGTGATAAGCCTAAGGAGTAAATAATCTATAAAGGGAAAGATACTACAATTTGCTTTTTTCAAATTTCTCATTGGAGGCCAATGATGGTTAAAATTATTTTTGCTTTATGTGCGGGCAGTTCTCCAAATACTCAGAAAGCCAATTATTGAACAGTTTTCTGTATTCACGATAATTTGGTGGCTAAATCATCATGCTTCTAACATATTATGCTATGCTCCCCATTTCCTCTGTGTAGAAGAAAATTTCTAGGGCAGAAAATTGTCTGATAAGAATTAATGATTTATCTCTTTATGGTATCTATTGGCAAATATAATGCATATCATAAGTAAAGAATACCCCATATTTGCTTTTGGGGATCTCTTTTCTAATACTTGCATAGCATCTGCTACAATCTGGCAGCTGTCAACTCCAGGAAATCACCTTTATTTCTGACTCTTCCCTTCTCATGGAGAGAACATGTCTGTTTCTGGGTTGCTTAGATGCTTGTGAACCCCCTGCTTCTCCGACATGTTTCATAACATAATCCCTAAGGACTGTCCTAGATATTTCTTGGAAAATTCAGCATCAAGAGCAATGTCAACAAAAGATGATGTGGTGTAGCGGAGCTTCTGAGGTGATTTGATTTGAGAATGGAGAGTAGAGTGGAAAACAGAGCAGAACAGGAGAAAAGCAGGTTAATAATACTCCCACATAGCTAGTTGTGCTACTTCCAGGTAAGAAAATTATCTACTGATCTGTTGGCGGATGGACATTTGGAGAAAAATCAGGGCTGCCTTGATTAAATGGGGAACAGCCATTTCTGCTGGTGTCCCAGTTTCTTTTGTCAATAACAGTCCCCAACTGTTACCGTTTAAAATAATTCTAGGGTCCTGGCTAGGGTCAGAATCATCATGGGCAGATAAAGAAGCAGCTTAGTTCCTCACCCACCCACAAATTCTTTTTCTGTATCTAAGTCACAGATGCTGTGAATCTGGAAGGGCTGAAAAGAAACATCCATAAAAAGAAGGTGCATAAATAAGCTTGTTAGGCTGCTCTAGATCAGGGCTTTTCAACCTTTTCACCCATTGTACCACTTTTAGGATATGGCAATATCCGAGTACCACCAGTCGCCTAGCAAGGTGTCAAAAACTTGACCCCAAAAAAGAGAGGAAAAAAGAGATAAAGTACAGGTAGTCCTCGACTTACAACAGTTCGCTTAATGACTGTTCGAAGTTACAATGGCACTGAAAAAAGTGCCCCCCAAGCCACAGCCGAGCAAGACACCTGCCTGCCCGCCCGGCCGCACTCTTCCTCCTATCCAAGGTTTCCACTGTTGTGAGCATTTCTCTTGAGGATTGGCAGTGGGGGTGGGGTGGGGGGGTGTTTGGTTTTTATTCCCCCCGTCTCCTGGGTGGTTGCAGCAGGTTTTGGTCACTTCACATGACCCTGGGACACTGTGACCTTCATAAATATGAATCAGTTGCCAAGCATCTGAATGTAAATCACAAGACCCTGGAGATGCTGCAACATTCCAGCTGATTGGCACTTCTTCTGGGCTCAACAGAAGCGCTAGGATCAGTGCTGAGCTCCGGCTGGAGCTTGGTGCTGATCCTGGCACTTCCGCTGAGCCCTGACAGCTCTGCAGTTCCAGCCATCTCTCACTCAGGCTTGTGCGGTGCTGCCACCGGTTCATCTCATTCCCCTCCCCTGCTACCACTTTTCTAGGATAGTCGCGTACCACCTGCCAGGTGCCAATATACCACAGGTGGTACCCGTACCACTGGTTGAAAAGCCCTGCTCTAGATTTCTCTCTTGGTATCTCTCTCTTTGCGAATGCCAAAATGGAGATTAATCTTAAATTCTTTACTGTATTTTATTCCAGGTTCAGCTCTCACAAGTTGCTCTGGTTATGATGAAGTACCATTGGGTACTTTAGAATGTTTAGAATATGAGCCAAAGCTGGAAACAGACAGATTACTCAATCTTTAACTGATCTGTTCAAATGTATTGCACAAACCAAGACTACATTATATTTTGGAACTACTGTATTTAACATAATAGTATAACTATGTAGCTTTCCCAGAACTGCTTTTGGGAAACCGGGGTGCAACTTTTTTATTTCGTGCCTAAACTCTGACTGCTACTCCCTGTGGGCCTTTCCTTCATTACACGCAAACAAACAAACTGCTGAACTCAGATCACACACTGGCTGTTAAATTGATCTGTTGACAACAGCAAGTTGAAGTAGCCACTAATCATTCCTTATATTAGCCTAAAAAACCTGGATAGATATTCCCTTCCTTTGATGTAATAAAGGGCAGTCCCTTAAAAGGATCTCCCACTTTCCATTAGCCTTTTTTTTTCTAAACAGAAGAAACCTAACTAGGTGTAAGGATAGAGAATCCTGTGAAAAAAAGACAAGAATACTGAAGTTTCCCAGAATTTCTGTTAGTAGTTAGCATAGGAACATAGAGGAAAGCTAAGTCAAATGTAACCAAGGAACATTTGCTCCCTCTAGTGGAACCCAATAATAATGCATAGATTCTAGCTGTTAACTAATTAATAACAAGCTTTTCTTTCCCATCAAAAATGGATAAGAAGTCAGCAGAGGAAGTGCTTTTCTTTTGCTTTCATCTTAGATCTGTCCAATAGGTTACTAAAGAAATTTTTACGGGTGTAGCTGGTGTTATATAATACTATATTTTATAAAATGATTTAGGTGTCTGTACCGGGAAGGCAGATAAGTATATTTCTTGAGACAGCTGAGCAATGCTACTATTGCTATTGATAGCTGAAGCTTCTTTAAGGATGACCCAAAAAAATTAGTAAAGGCTTCTGACATCCTAAGAGAGGACTGTTGGTGAGCCATCAAATAGGATGAGCAAGGAGTTGTGAAGTTGTAGTGCACTCATCGAAATGTGTATAGTTTTTTCAGCCTTGCATTGCCTTTCTCTGTGCTAAAGTCCCTGCAGAATTTAGCATTTCATCTGAACACCTCAGTTAAAAGACTCATTTAGACTGATTATCAAACCATGATTTGGAATATTTAGATAAGCTTGGGTGTCTTTAGACACTTCTCCCTTCCCTCTTACGTTACTGTAGTTTTGACTTCCTTTATGATTTGCAACTGCTTTGATGAAATGCTCAGAAATAGCACTTTTGTAAGCCAATGCTCTGTGAATGTAGTGATGAGGTTCAAAATAATTGCTTATGACAAAGAATACAACGGTGGATATGAAAAAAAAAAAACCTGTCTGTCTGGTATTATTTTGCATCTAACACTGAATTCCATTGCCCCTCCAATTGTATGCGATGATCGTATCAAGAGTTTCTTATGTGACCACACACACGATCAAACAGAAATATAGTTATAGAATCCCCACGGTGCATATCTGGACATTTCAGACTAAACCCTGGAATCCCCAAATAGATTACATAATTAATCAGTGGAAGATGGAATAGATTACTTTATAAGGAGGGGAAACATGTGAGAAAACCCGCCGATAACACAGTCCAAATGGATGATGAATTATGATTGGAGTTGGCCTGTAAAATATGAACAGCACTATGATCATTTGGGAGATTTTCCTCGCATTTAATTTTCAGGCTACATCAGACACTTCTTAGGTTTAGATTCTTTCTACAATTGTTTTAGTTCTCATTTCAGCCTATCAATCGCCTAGAGCAGGGGTAGTCAACCTTGGCTCTTTTATGACTCATGGACTTCAACTTCCAGAATTCCCGAGCCAGCTAAGCTGGCTCAGGAATTCTGGGAATTGAAGTCCACGAGTCATAAAAGAGCCAAGGTTGACTACCCCTGGCCTAGAGAACAGATAAAAAAACCAAGCATTCATATATATATAGACCTGAGTAGCGGCATTTCCATTCTTAACATTTGTGGCTGAAAGAAATTGACAACTCCATTGCAGCTTTAAATAACGAGTAACATGGAATTATTTAATATCAATTTAACAGAGATGTACTCAGGGCATAGCTATGTAGTTATGTAGGTTCTCCCTATGCAGCATTATGTAACTAAGTATGCCCTGAGTACATCTCTATAAGAGATTAAATCTGTGCTAGTTACATAACCAAATAATCTAACAGTAATGTCAAGAACTAGAATGAATCTCATATAGCACTCCAATTGGTACAAGTAAATAGCCCACCATTTCTCTTCTTCTACACACTTAATTTTCACAAAATTAGTCAACATCAGTTTGCCGTTGCCTCTCAATTTTCCATTATTTTTTCAAACATTGCATTGTAAAAAGGGGGGGAAGATTTATATGATCTAAAGAGAAACCAAATATTGTGAATTATTTTTTTCTCATTCAGTATTTCCATCAAGGATTGTTTCCTAAAGGCATGTCTGTAATAGACAAACTGAAAGTCTGATAATATGCTATTATTTTGATGAACACATATCTGAGATGATTGGCACAGGGTATTTATACACTCCATTGGATTTTGATTGCAAGATAACATGTCAAACATGACAATGCATTACTCTTTGGAAAAACTAAAGTCAAAGTCTTGGTTTTGAAAATATAATAAATAAAGTCAAGCTACTCTCCAAGGCGCCTGAAGGCAGGACGAGAAGCAACGGATGGAAACTGATCAAGGAGAGAAGCAACTTAGAACTAAGGAGAAACTTCCTGACAGTTAGAACAATTAACCAATGGAACAACCTGCCTCCAGAAGTGGTGAATGCTCCAACACTGGAAGTTTTTAGGAAGAGACTGGACAGCCATTTGTCTGAAATGGTGTAGGGTTCCTGCCTGAGCAGGGGGTTGGACTAGATGACCTCCAACGTCCCTTCCAACTTTATTATTATTATTATTATTATTATTATTATTATTATTATTATTATTATTATTATTATTATTATTATTATTATTATTATTATTATTATTATTTACGCTTCCCAACATTTTCAACTATTGTCCTATTAGCATCCTGATATCAGAGATACATCAAGTATGGGAGTTGTGGGTTAAGCATCTTTCTGCACCATTTTCGGATGATCTTCAATAATGAGAAACCATGTAACCATGTTGAGTCTCCGTTTCACATTGACTCCAATCAGTCCTCAGTTATAGGGAATGCACTACTTATATTGCCTGCTAGCAAAACTGATGCTTTGCATTTACAAAAGCCAAGTTCAATTAGAGCTTCTTCCTTTAAGAGTTTGGGATAGTGGAACAAAGCAAGATGGGAAACCTGTTGAGAGCAAGATAATACTAATTGGGTTCCCCACATGTGTGCTAATCACACATAATGTGGCTTGGGTTTGGCTTAGCATAATGTGTGAACCCAGCCATGAATAAGAAGTACCTAATTATCTGATTCACTAAGTCTGATAAGAGAGCCTCATTTATTCATGTATTCCGAGATCACAACCCCTCAAGCACAGTATAGCAAAAGTCTCTGAACTAGAAAAGATTCATGACTCTATAGCAGGGCTTTTCAACCTTTTCACCCATTGTAACACTTTTAGGATATGGCAACATCCGAGTACCACCAGGCGCCTAGCAAGGTGTCAAAAACTTGATGACCAAAAAAAAGGAAAAAAGTGATAAAGTACAGGTAGTCCTCGGCTTACAACAGTTTGCTTAGTGACTGTTCGAAGTTACAATGGCACTGAAAAGGTGCCCCCCAAGCCACAGCCGAGCAAGACATCTGCCTGCCCACCCGGCGGCTCTCTTCTTCCTGTCCGAGGTTTTCATTGTTGTGAGCATTTCTGTTGAGGATTGGCAGTGGGGGGGGGGGTGTTTGGTTTTTATTCCCCCCATCTGCTGGGTGGTTGCAGCAGGTTTTGGTCACTTCACATGACCCTGGGACACTGTGATCGTCATAAATAGGAATCAGTTGCCAAGCATCTGAATGTAAATCACAAGACCCTGGAGGGGCTGCAACATTCCAGCTGATCGGTGCTCCTTCTGGGCTTAGCAGAAGCGCCAGGATCAGCGCCGAGCTCCAGCTGGAGCCTGGTGCTGATCCTGGCGCTTCCGCTGAGCCCTGACAGCCCTGCAGCTCCAGCCGTCTCTCGCTCAGGCT